ACCCCTGAACCATATCAAAAAGGGTGTATAGAAATCGTCCCTTAACCATCCCCCCATCAACCTTTAATCATTTACATAGGCGATCACCCGACAGCCCACTTTTTCCAGTTCCTCTAGAAGGTCGTTTACAACCTCAATCCAGAGCAGGGGAGAAAGAACACCACCTTGTGGAGTGCTCCTATTGACTCTGCGCTGAGGGAATGCCATCTCCCACTCCGACGCGACAGTTCTGTCACGAGGTAAGCTGGTTGGTTTCAACCCCTGCATTATGAATATACTTGACTATTGCCTCTGGAGTGACATTGTTGAAGCCCCCTCGATATCGACGAAGGCCCCTACTGTATAATCTTTATGCGTGAAGGCTTTCTCTGACCACTTTACCAATGTGTGCAGGGTGATATTCACGGACCTTTTCTTGCAATAAGCAAGGTCTTAAGGTCTTGAAAGACAGTCACAAGGAGCCGCGTATCTTATGTACAGGTCTATCAATCTCTCTAGCATTTTTAGCGAAAACTAAGAGAGACTGATAGGCCTAAGATCCCTAAGGGAAATGTGAGAACCTTCTCCGGCCTTCGGAATGAACGCAACACTGATTACCCTCCAAGCCTTGGATATGTAAACGGTCCTCACGCAGTTCGCGTAAATAGGATCCAACCAATTACATGACACTTTCAGAACCCTTTGCAGCTCCGCCGGTATGATGCCATCGGTCTCCGGCGACTTTAATGGTTTCAACGAATTTATCGCCCTGGCAATGTGACGATCGTCCAGAAGATTCCGAAAGAAGTACGGTTGGTCACATTACACATGGTGTAATAACAACAAGGTGTTGTCAGTAACTTAACCTCACTTTTTCGGCAGGTCTATTCCGGTCACGCATTTTAAAGTAGTAGAAAAAGTATTAATTATTTACTACTTTTAGTCATATTTCAAATTAAATGTAGAAAAATGTTTAATTACAGGCTTATAAGCCTGAATATATGTTTGTATCGTCAGCTCCACACAGGTTGAACATATATTGTAACTTATAAAAAAGTACAGGCCGTAAAATAAGACAATTTCCTTTAAACTGTAAATGATTTTTTAAACAGATTAATAATAATAATAATAATAATAATAATAAT